GAATGTGGTGTGTCCACATAGCAGGTTACCAATGAGCTGTTCATAAAATGGATTTGTGCTACAACATAGATGAACTTGAAAGTATTTTTCCAAGTGAACGAATCTAGATGCCAAAGGGCACTGTCATATAATTCCACACATATAAGATTCCCAGGGCTGGCAAATCCTTAGAGATAGAAAGTACATTAATTCCCAGGGGTTAGGGGAAAGGGGGGTGGGATGTTATCAAAGCCTGCTCGTGGGTTCAGGAATTTTTTCAGGGATAATGACAATGTTCTAAGGTTAGATAATGGTGTTGGTTGTACAGTGTACCTAAGGACCACTGAGTCGTAAGCTAGTACATGGATGGGTGACTTTACAGTATGTGAATTACGTCTCATTGCACAATGAGCCTGTAAAAGCAGAGTGGTTATCCTCACTTCATAGCTGGGACTCTGGGTTGTCAGAAGGTTAGTGTCTTGCCAATGCAGCACATCAGGTCTAGGCAGCTCCAGAGACTTGCTCTTCAGGACCACACAGCCTGGCATGAATTAGGGAGCAATAGCAGACGGTGGGGAGCCAGGGGCTTCACGTCCCAGAGAAATGGGACCAATCAATTAAGAAGGCCGATGTCCTTGCACAAGTGAATTTAACCTATCAGGTAGGCAAACAGGCAAAACACTACTAAGTCAGTACCTACCCTGTACTTGGGAGGATGGTTCTAGGATTTGGGGTATGGGCACAGAAAACCTGGAGACACTCAACCGTGACATGGTCATTACACAGATGATGTCTTTGAACAGGCCTTTCTAGGTACAGCCCTCTTTCCTGGTCTTTGGCACAGAAATAGCCTCAAGAGAATTGTCCTCTGACAAAGCCTGCTGGCCTGTTTTCTTCTGTCGAATAGTCTTCAGGAGCGCCTGGGCCTCCCGCTCTGACTCCTGTCTACATCAGCATTTCCCCCACTTGCTTTCAATACCAGATAGAGAAAACATCACCATACTACATTTGCAAAAAGTCATGAGCAGGTTGTGGAAATTTTACAGAAGCTTTAAAAGGAGGTTGGAGGAAGGGAGAAGACAGCACACCCACGCACACCACAGTCCATCCCTTGGCCCCTCTGCTGGACATTTCTGCCCTCTGAAGTCCCTTCTCTGTGGTGTTCCAGATCTTTCTCCCCTGTCCCACCTTGCTGGGTCTTCTATCTTTCCACCAAAGAACAGTATGAGCGCATGTCCTGGCTCTGTTGTTTGTAAGTCCTGTAAAACCGGGCATGTTTTATCACCCCCGTGTGCCTCAGTTTCCCCATCCATATGCTGGGAAAGGTAGCACCTCCTCCAAAGATCACTGTGCATGTTAAAGGAGTTGCTGCACGTGAAGACCCTAGCATATGACAAGCTCTAAGTCTATTATCTCAGAATAAACTGTCAGTCACCTTCTGCTAGCAGACCAGACTTAGTGTCTGCTCCCCTCCCAGTGGCTGGCCACATGATCTCTTCCAAATGACTAGAACACCATCACCGAAGGGAGTTTTGGCGGTAAAAGTATTGCACTTCCCCTCTTTCTTGCTATGCCAACAAGGCTACCTGTTCAGGGATGTCTGGCATTCTGTCCCTAGGATGAAGCCTGACTCTACCATCATGCCTGGGCACAATATGGAAGGCCATGTGCTGAGGAAAACCCAAATGGTGTCCCTGACACATCTGGCAGAACCAAGAGCAGCCATATGCTCCCTGTAAGGAAGGAGACCAGATCTCACCAGAGTCATTCAGGGGGGACACCACCCATGTGGACAGTACCCAACTTGACCTAGTTGAATGTGGGTTCTATCTAGGCCTGGTCTGATATTTCAGGGAAGCCCCAACAATTTTAGGCCATCATTCCAATTCTACCTATGCAGCTTGGGCAAGCAGAAGTGGTCCAGCTGACCCGTGGACCCTGCATGAACTGAGCCACCCTCAGAGGCATTATCTTCCCTGTAGCACACATGCCTGGAGCTGTGCTAACCCTGCCCGTGAGCCTCACAGCCTCTTAAAGGTCTCCACCCACCATTGCCAACAACCCGTCCAGGGCCCACAGGCTCCTTGGAGCATAGCTGACCCAGCCCAGGGGATCTGAGTAGAATCTAGTGAGGGTAGCACAGACCCCATGTAGAAGAGTCCATGGTTCCTTCCGCAGATGGCAGAACTGGACTCCAACCATGCTGGCACAGTCTCACCAAGCCAGGACTCTGGGCCCTTGATGTAACTCCAGGCTCCTCTAAAACGAGGCTTTCTGAGTGGCTGACGAGAGATCAAAGCCTTCCTGCTCAGGTGGTAGGCTGACAGGATTGACCTCTCTCGAGGAAATGAAGGTCAGGGTGTGGGGCAAGTGTATGTTCCTATGTCACATGGGTGGTGTGCTGAATTGCAACCGTGTCTTTCTCCAGCCCCTTCCCTTTCCCCAGCTGTGTCTAGTCAAATCGCCTAGCAGGAAGGTCCTCTCCAAAAGGCCACACTCTTCCCAGAACTCCAAACAGATCTAAATCACAAGCAGAGGTCCCTGATGCTGTTCCTTCACTCACAAGAGGGGACAGGGCTATCCGTCCCTGCAGGGTCACACACTGGCCCTGACTCACAGCTGTACAACCCAGAGTCCCACAGACTGGCTGATGCTCAGGGAGATGGCTGACACACCAAATCTGCTACTTCTGAAACTGAAGACAGGTGCCCCCCCCCGTCCTGTATCCGGCTTCAGCTCTTTACCCCAGTTGCTGTCTTGGGTTTCTCTAGCAGGAACCTGGACCTGGGCCAGCGCAGGATAGTTGGAACCAGGCTCCACCATTCACAGGGAACAGAGGAAAGTGAGGATTTGGAGTCTGTTTTTTCAGGAAGTTAAATCTCTTTGCATTAAAGGGCTGGCGTCTAACAAGTTTTCAAATTAAAAACTACTCCTTTCCTGCTTTTTTTTTTTTTTTTGGCATGAAAAGATGCTTTATTTCATACACGGAGGTGGTGGAAGATGTCAGGGCTCACTCATCTTAGTTTGGAAATCTCCTTAATTGACAAATTGAGGAGGGCTGTGGCATGAGGCTTCCCAGGCTTGGGGAAGGTTTACTGGTCTGGGGTATACCATGGTCTAAAACTGTGCTATCCTTGCAGGAAGGGTGGATCCTCCCACAGAGCAGGGAACAAAACTGAGCCCTGAGCCTGAGCTGGGGTCTGGGAGGTTGGCAAGAAACAAAGCTTGGGCTAAGAGGGTGGTGGCTATCACTAGGGGAAGGGAGCGTGAACACCTCCCAGGATACAGCTCTCCCTATCACCAAGGCTTTGCAGGAACTCAGGACAGCAGAGGAGGGAGGGAGAGGGAGAGGAAGGAAGGCCCAGAGGTCCTGCAAAGCCCCTTGGGCTTGGGCTTAGGCTCTACCTGCTCTGCCCTCAGCCTGCAAGATGCACCCAGCATGGGGTAAGAGCAACCCCTACCACCATGCGCATCTGTAACCCAAGCACACTGAAGTTTCTCAGTCCACAGTCCACTCCTGACAGAATCAACATTGGCCCAGGTCTCACTGGGGCAGAAGAGAAACGTACGTAGGCCAGTGAAGTCAGGCTGAGTTTGTGAGATGCTGAAAAGAATCTTCCTGCCCCCTTTAGGGCCCCTCGCTAGTGGGTCCCCAAGGGATGGTGCCTTGGTGAGGACCTAGCCACCTGTAGCCCTTCTCCTGAGACAGACTGGTGGGTGTGAAGGAAGCTGGCTGCCGACTCCACCCGCACGAGACAGCCAGCCAGCTGTGAGTTTGTGCTGGTTTTTAGTACCAGCTAACTCCATAAATACCCTGGATAGTCTTGCTTCCACCCCAGTTGACTGGCATGCCCAGCTTGATGGGGACAGGGGGAGTGGGCAGCACAGCCTAGTAGTCTCCAGAGGCAAACGACCTTGGCCATCATCACTCCCTAACATGTCCAAGTTTCATTTTCCTCCTCTGAGGTGTTCACAGGACAAGCACTCCCAGCTGTCTTGAAGATAAAACCAGCCAACAAATGCCTAGCACAGCAGATCCCAACATGAGTCAGAGCTCAGAGCCATCTGTGGTCAGTCACCCACTTCCCTCCTGCCTGGAGATAGCAGGGCCCTGGTTTCTCAGAGGGACCTTTCTGTCAGCCCAAGGATGCTACCTGAGCTGTTTGAGTGGGCACAGCCTTCGTGACCGTCTCCCAGTCCTGCGGGAGTCCAATCCAGGATATGGTTAGATCACAGGGCTGGAGGCACAAGGCCCTTCTTCAGACATCAGAGTGTTAAAAAGGAACCTTCAGTGAGTAGCTGTTTCCTTTGTTAGGACAACTGGCACATTCAGCAACAACTTCACACCAGGCTGTGGAGGAGCTGATGAGGGAAAAGACCCAGATGGGTGGGGACACAGCTGAGCGTGAGGAGGGAGAGACCCAATAGGGAAGAGCAGCTCTGTGGTGACTTCCTCAGTTCTCAGGGCCTGGAATACAACCTCTGAGTGAGTGGATTAAACCTACCACAGAGTCAGGTCCCCAAACAGAACTAGCTCCAGAACCCATGGCTGGGCTAAGGAAGGGTCCCTCTTGCCACTGTTGCCTGACAAACACCTGCACCGACCAAGCTTCTTTTTAACATGCCCTTCCTTGAGAAGCTCTGAGCCTCCTTCCTCCTGGCTCAAAGTGCCAGGACCCCTTCTTCTGCCCTGGGAAGCCTGGGCAGCTCCCGGCACCACAGCTCACAGAGGGTTGTGGTATGGGCCAGGCACAGAGTGGCTCTCCGAGCCCCAGTGCTGTGCAGCCAGCCTGTCACAGACAGTATCCCACAGCCAAGGTCCAAGGTGGGCCTCATTTGCCTTCCCACCGCCACCACCATCACTCGGGGAAGCAACGCGCCAGTCAGCTTAAACCATCCTGTGACATAAGGCCAACCTGACCCATTGGGAGGCAGGCAGGGGGGTTAGCTAGTTTTGCCCTTTGGAGCCACCCCTCAGCGGTCTCTGGGAATGGCAGCTTGGAGGGGAGTGGGGTACTCACAGCACGCAGAGCGCATAGGCCCGGGGAATGGACTCGCTGGCACGCACAAGGAAGCTCCCGTCCTTGCCCGCCCTAGAGAGCAGCTCCTCTGCCTTGGAGCGGGTGATGTTGCCATGGTTCCAGCCGGGGACCATGGCAGGCATGGGCCTCCTGGACTGGCTCAGCAGCCACCCACAAGAGGGACACACCAGCAGAGTAGCCGAGGGCCCGAGACTGAACCCTGCCTCCTCTTGCCTCTCTGAGGCTGTCTCTACTGCTGCTACCACCTTAACTGACTGACTTCCTGTTTCAGGCGCTCAGCGAGGGAAAGGAAACTGAGCTGCAGAGAACTTCCTCATTGCAGAAACCAAGGGGGGGTGGTTGTCATCCACCTTCCCACCAGGTCCAGCCACCATCTGCCTGCCCCACCCTCTCACTCACTGACCCTCATCTTCTGAATAGGTCCCAACCTCCAGAAGCTTCCAGTATCATTCAGGGTTCTGTCTGGGGAAAGGCATGGACTCCTTAGACGTCAGGTTTCATGGCCAGCTTCTGAAGCCTGACCTAGCATTTGTGGATGAGCCAAAGGAGTGGTTACTAGAAAGATTGTGCAGATGTCCCTGAGGACAGTCCTTAGACTTTACAACTCTATACCACTCTGACATACCCATGATAGTTAGCTTTAACTATCTATTTGACACAATCTAGAATCACCTGGGAAAAGAGTCTCAATGAGTGATTGTCTACACTGTGTGAGCCTGTGAGGCATATCTGTGAAGGACTGTCTTAATTAAGTTAATTGATGTGGGAAGACCCAGCCCACTGTGGGTAGCACCATTCCCTAAGCTGGGGCTCCTGAACTGTATCTGAATGAAAAAACCAAGGTGAGTCCAAGCAAGCCAGTATTCATGCATTTATTCTCTCTGCTTCTGACTGTGGATGTGACGTGACAAGCTGCTTTACGCTCCCTATAATGTCCTCCTCTATGACTCCCCATGGTGATGGACTATAACCTGGAATTGTAAGCAAAAGTAAACCTTTTCCCCCTAAGCTGCTTTTGGTCAAGGTATTATATCATAGCAACAGATGAAACTAGAGCAACAGTAAGGGGCACAGCTACTTAAACTGGATAAAGACCCCCAGATCAGAGCAAAACAGGGGAGGATAGTCTCACCCTGCCTCTCCTCACTGGACACGCCCAGGTATCCAGACACTTACTGCCCCTGTGCTGGGAGTCTTGGCTCCTGGATCTGCTGAAGATACCCAAGTAGCCAGGGATAGCTCTGTGACTGGGTTTCACCCCTCTGGGCTTCTGTGGGACACTTGGGGAACAAACTCAAAGAGGCACCCACGTGTCCCCATCAGGCAAGCTAGCCACTTGGATAAGACTTATTCTTGGGTTCATTCAGTCAGGCCACACCCTCTCTGTTGCTAGACATGGCCACATTTACTCACCTCTCAAATGTCACCAATTTGGTACTAGCAGAGATCCAAGGACTCTAAGGTGACCACTGTCCCCTGGACCCCAGAGCTAGGTGCCCTCCGTCCTCAGGCCAGGCTCACTCAGGGGCAAGGGGCGAGTGTTGGCCCACTGCAGAAATGATGGTCCTCCACTCCCACATCTGAGCCTTATCCCCTAAGACAGGCAGCCAGGCAGCTCCCCTGGGAGCTACGTTGAGTTTCCTACAACTCTTGGCCTCAGTTTCCTCTTCTCTAACCTGCAGAGTGTGGCTCTGAGTGGAGCACAAGTGTGTGGAGGGCCTGAGAGCTGTGCTGTGGTCAGTCCACGGTAGGAGCCCCAGGGCCTGCAGGGCACACACGGTAGGAAGTCTGAGAGTGAGTATAGCATTCTCTTGTCAAAGGCCCCTCCAGCCAGGCCCTGAGCCAGAGGGAGGGGGACACAGTGATGACAAGAACTCATCTCCACGTTCTGACTCTGCCCAGCCGGCTGGGTCTCCACTCTAACAGCCCCAGCATGGAGCCCTCTCATGTCCATCATTACCTGGTCTACCCTCTCCTCAGGAAATCTCTGCCCATCCCAAGCACCATGTGCTCCCTTGTACCTCTCGCCTCTCTTCCCTGAGGCCCTCTGCCGATTCCCTGATTGTCCTCATCCCCGAAGCTGCCATGATTCTCAGGAGGACCCAGATCCATCACCATCTTGTCCTCTTTGTGTCTTGAGCAACTCCTCTCGAGAGACCCCTCAGCATCCAAGACTGTTCCACTGATAAATGACTTCCCTTTGCATTCTCAGTGTCCCATCAGTTGTGGGACTGTCAATCTAATCGTACAAAGATGTGCCTAAGAGATCAGTAAAGCACACCTCTGAGCGTGGCTGCCGGTCATCTCCAGAGATAATCTGATCACAAGGACTCTGACGTATAGGCTAGATGAATCCCTTAATGAATTTATTCATTATTGGGAGGTAGGGAAAGGTAGGGCCTGTTGGAGGAAGTAGGTCACTGGGGATGTGCTCTTGAGGCTGCAGCTTGCTCTAGTCCCTTCCTATATCTCTTTTCTCTGCTTCCTGTTCAACATAAAAGGCTTCTCTACCAAAGGCCCTCTGCGATCATGACTGCTCTGCCCCTCCATACCTGTTGCCGTGAAGGACTGACACTGCTTGAGGCTGCAGCTTGCTCTAGTCCCTTCCTATATCTCTTTTCTCTGCTTTCTGTTCAACATAAAAGGCTTCTCTACCAAAGGGCCCTCTGCGATCATGACTGCTCTGCTCCTCCATACCTGTTGCCGTGAAGGACTGACATCGCTGGAATGGTGGCCAAAATAAATCCTTCCTCCGTTAAGTTGCTCGTGCCGAATATTCTGTCAGAGTGACAAGAAGTCTGGCCCATGAAACACCCTCTCAAGCCTTCACTCTTGCTCTTGCTCATCTTTGAGCGCAGTAAGATTGCCTGATACGTATATGACAAAATCACGCTTCCCTGATTTTCAAGGCCCGTCCCATCTTCACACATGCCTGAAGCATGAGCTTAGTTCTTCCTTCCCTACATACATGCCTGAGGCATGAACTGAGTCAGCATCTTTGTTTTCTCTACTGTCATAAAACCCCAACATGAGATCAAGGTTTCCCAGACAGTGGGTGGAGCATGGGAGGATTATTTTATTTTTTTGGCAGGCCTTTGCCTATACTAATAACTCAATTAAAAGGTATCATAAAGTTCATGGAACCCTCTGCGATAAAGTGACTCATCAGTGAAAATTTGAAATGATGACTGAAAAGGAGGTGAACGACATCCATTCAATGTCTAATCTTCGTACGTGAAAAGTCTTCATGGTGCCTCCATTTTCCCTTCCCTAGCATGGCCAAGAACCACCCTTTGTGTCTGTTGCTGTCAAATATACTTCCTTGACTGATTTTGTGTTTCCACAGAGAGCTAAGGGTTGCAGCTGCCGCAGGCCACAGCTCTATAGGACCTGCGACCACGTGCCTTCTGGAGTCCACATTTTCCTACTGGTCACAACAGTCCCACGCCACTACTTCATTCACAAGGCTTCCCTGGAGTAGGCCACTGACTCCTACCATGTTCCCCGGCTCTGTTGATAACCACAATGCATGTCTTACCCAGGACACTCCAGAAAATATTGATAAATCATCTACTTTTTGTAAAAACAGTCTGGCTATGAGTCCCAGGCTGGCCTTCAATGTTTATCCTCCTGCCTCTGCCTCCCAAGTGCTGGGGTTTTGTTTCCTTGTAATGTTAAATTTACTGTGCTGAATTTTAAAGCACGAATGTAGGACAGCACACTGCCCAGCCATATTCTCTTGAACACTCTAGGTTATAGTCACCCCATTTCTATATTGTGATCTCTTTTAAAAATGACTACACCCCAGGCTTCCACACATGAGAGCAGCCCTATTTGCCAGAAATGTTCACCTCTTTCCTGGCACGACTCCAGATCAACCTGGGGAACCCAGCAATGCCATAGGGATGGGAGGCAGGAGAGATGCTGACTGGAGGAACCCGGGGGCACTATGCATCAAAGTTCCCAGCAGCCATTAGAGAAGAAGGCAGCCTGACACCCAGATGGGAGCCTCCCGAGGGTAGGGTAACTACCTGGATGGTGTTAGCAGGGGCACAGAGGATAAAAGGTGGTTCCATTCCCGCTTCCCTTGGTACTCAGGGCCACTGAGGAGTGACCCCTCTCCAGGCTGTTCCTGGAAGCCACACCCCCATCATAAGGTCCTAGTATTATATCATAATTATGAGTATCAGTGTTCTTTGGGGCATCTGGTCAACCCCTCCTATGGGTGGGGCACAGATTTGGAAAGTAGCTGAGGTAGAGAAGATCGGGACTCACTTGGGCCAGGGCAAAACTGAGGTATCCCTGACGGCTAGGATCAGTATCTGGGGTGCTGGAGGAAGGCTTGGAAAATTTCTGGGAAGTCAGGTTCAGTGAGCATAGCAGGGTGGTCTGGCAGACCTCTGGCCTGGGCGCTGGGCCATGCCAGGAGCTCCAGGAGGAACAGACAGAGCTGTGTTGAAGGAATCGGCTCGAAGGGCTGATGCCATGCATCATAGATTCCATATCTAAAGCCTCATGAAGGACCGAGTGCAGGGGCAGCTTGGGGCTCTTCATCAGTGTCCAGTACAGTTAGAAAAGGCTAGAAGAGAGGTACAAGGTGGGTGACATCAAGCTACGTGCCCAGAAGAGCTCCAGGAGGAACAGACAGAGCTGTGTTGAAGGAATCGGCTCGAAGGGCTGATGCCATGCATCATAGATTCCATATCTAAAGCCTCATGAAGGACCGAGTGCAGGGGCAGCTTGGGGCTCTTCATCAGAGTCCAGTACAGTTAGAAAAGGCTAGAAGAGAGGTACAAAGTGGGTGACATCAAGCTACGTGCCCAGAGGTCCTTCCAGCAGGCACAGTGGACTTGAGGGACTGGGACGGGGTCAAGTTAGGAGATGGGAGCCTTGAAGTCCAAGCTCCAGGGCTGGGGCTGGGGCCAGGAGTTGGGGTGGTAGAGGCCATACCACACATAACCAGGCAAATGTATACATGTCAGTCTTTATGCTTCCTTTCCTGTGTCCATCAAAGCCCTTTACTGTCCTTCAGGGGCCTCTTGCTACTCCATCGTGGACAGACAAGTTGGTGCCACCTACTGCCTAGGCATTCACTAAGTCAGCAAATGCAAGGACGGCCATGATGGTCATTTGATGGGCCAACTTGGCTGGGCAATGGTGCCCAGAGATTTGGTCAAAAATTACTCTAGTTGTCTCTATGAAGATATTTTTTTAAAAGAAGAGATTAAAATTTAAATAAGTAGACTTTGAGTAAAGCAGATTATCTTCCCTTGTGGGTTGGCCTCATCCAATCAC